AGATATGAGTTATGGCAGGTGGGGGTGAAAGAGAAGAAAAATATTAAAAAAATATTCCTAATTTCATAGCTAATTCTAAAGGGAAACCAGCATGCAACAGCCCAGAGAGCCCTCAGTAACTCAGAGTCCTCACTACTAATACTCCAACTTGAATAAAACACAGTAATTTTAATTCAGAACATTTTTGAAGTTTGTGTCTTGTATGGTCCAGAAGCATCAGCTCATACAGAACAAGAATCTACATATACTGAAATGATATTCAGACAGAGGACAGATTTCAAATACTCTTTTTTTCCAAAAGACTGCTAAATTTTTCAGCCCTAAAAGAAGATCTTTTTCTTTATTTTCTCAAGTACAGAAAACTAGATAGCTGAGGGATTTACTCTGAGACTTCTGTTTATGAAAATTTCATTCACAGTGTGTTTCCCAACACTGCTCTTTCTGCCACATAAAAGCACCTACAACCCATAGACAGTGGGGAAGTTAAAGGTTAATTTGTGCACAATCCACCAACACAGCGAATAAAATGCCCCCAAATCTTCAGGATGTGCCACTCCTCACTCCGTGGGATCCGCGGGTGCTGCTGCTCCTGCGGTTTGGCGCGGGCTCAGCGGTGGCTGCTATGAATAGAAGTGCCCCAGCCCAGATAATCACAGCATTAGGCAACTGGTCAGGGAAACTGGGAACCAGAGCCAGGAGTGCAAGAGCCTCAAAGATCCCTCCACACCTCCCTCCCCGGCGCAGCGCTGGGAGCAGCTCGTGCCACATCAGGAGGGCTGCAGGGCACTCACCACACTGCTGTGGCCAGGATGACGCTGGAGTTGTGGCTGAAGTAGCCAATGGGTGCCTCTCCCAGCAGCAGATCAGCGAGGATGTAGCTCCCAAAGCAGTGGAGCATAGCACAGAGCCAGGAGGCAAAAGGGCTCTTCCGGGACATCTCCACGGCTCCTGTGAAAAAATTTGGGAATCACGGAGTCACCAATGTTGGAGAGACCCTCAAGGCCATCCAGTCCAGCCTCAGTGAGAAGATGGATCTAGCGATTAAGCAGGAACTTCAACACCCAGTAAGAGAGAGGCTCGAGGTGCGTGTTCTCCCACAAAGCAGCTCAAAGAAAAGTGCTTGTAAAACAAAATACCAAAGTGTGAAGCCCAAACAAGTACCAGAGATAGTCAAGAAATGATCACAGCCTGCAGACCCCCCCAAAGGTCTCAGGTGAACAGAGTCATTAGAAGTTTATGAATTGGCTGAGAGATTCTCTCCTTTATTTGCTACTAGCAGAAAGAACACTTTTTTTCCCTTGAAATCAATGTGGTTTTACAGTCTAAAAATAAAATGCATACTAGTACCATTCTCTCCACTGCTTCAACCTAGGTGCCCTCTAGAATTCATGAACAATCTGTTCAGTTCTTTCATTCATAAGATAACCTGCAAAAATAGAACAGGAATTCTTAATCTTTGAGAGAAGAGGATTTGAGGGTTCTTCCCCACTCCTGTACTAGTCTGGAAATACTTTGTGGTCTCCTCCCACAATCTGCTATGGCCTTTTTTTAAATTCCTATAGCAATTTTCATCCACCTTTGCACTTTTTCAGGGAAAACTCCCAACAACATCAATTCTGTGAGGTTGTTTCATCACCTTAAACTGCTCCAGGATCCTCTGTGCGGCATTTCAGACACAAAACTGTTCGGTGAGCATATAAAGAGAGAAAATGCTACAAATGTTATGTCAGCATGATTACCTGGTACACATTAAACAGCAGGAAGTGGATGAGCATGAGTCAAAGCTGTGAGTGCCCAGGCTCTTCCATCCTCTGGGACATTTGAACCAGCTGAAAACACAGCGGCAGCGAGACAGCTGCAACAGCCGAGACATGAAACTGGTTCTATAGGAACCTGAGGTTTAGCTTGAGGCTTAAATTTAGTAACACTTGTTTTTCCTTGGCTCTACAAAGCCATGCTGTCTCCAAGGAGGAAACAGGACGGTTCTGTCCTGACACTGATCCTCAGCCCAGGAGCTGTGGGATGGGAGCTGTAGGAATCTGGGGAAGAGTACACCCCAGCCTTACCCAGTCCCAAGAGGATTCCTGGGCTTGCATATATTTAAAAGCTATTTTTGTGAGGGCTGCCTGTTATTTGTTCGGTTCAGGACTCCATGCTGGAAGGCAGCTGGGAGTGATCAGGCCTGGAAAGTCCAGCACTTGTTTACAGGGAGTTTAATGGGAACAGCGTGTGGATTGTACGGCTCGGAGGTCGCACAACCTGAGGTTTGAAAATCATTCCCGAGCTTGGGGTTGGTTTTCCCTTCAGCCACCGTGCAGCCACAGTGAAACTGCTCAAAACAGAGCATGGAGTGCACACGTTGTCAAAAACAGAGGGAAAGTGGCGTTTGAAAAAGACCGAGGCACAGCCAGGCTGTGACAAGGCAGAAGGTGAGAGGCAAGGCGCAGATCTATTGATCCGTGCAAGATAAACCCAAGAGAACAAACAAAGCAAGGTCAGTTATTGTGCCTGAGAACAGCTCAGGGTATGGTCCAGAGGGTGGGAAAAACCCTAGATTTTACTTCCAGCTCTTTTGTATATAAATAGAAGGAAGGTACCGCCACAAAAATATTCAAGCCAAGGGACCGGCCAGAAACGCAACTCTTAGTCCTGGGGTGGCAGCCAAGTGACCGAACTTAAATACCTCAATGCGGCCGGAATCCAGTCTTAAATAAAATCCAAGATTATTTCTCAAAATCAGAGCCACGGGTTGGTGGGGGTTTTTCCTGCTCTCCATAAGCAGAAGGAGGTGTCGGAGCTGCGGCATCGCCTGTGGCAGGCGGCAGAGAGGGACGGGCGGGCGGCTGAACCTGTTGGTGCGGGGCAGTGCGGGGTCCGTGCCGGCACAGCGGTACCGGAGCTCCCCCGGGGCCCCCCCGGCCCAAGGGCCGCACTCACCGGGCTCGTACTTGAGGTAGAGGACGGAGATGATGAAATAGGCGGTGTCGAACA